CCAAGGAAGTGTCCATTCATGAAAAATGACAGCGATAATTAAAAAGAAGAACTTTACGAGTTCAAAGATTGAAGACCTGTCAAAGATCCAGAAAAGAAAATCTGTCATTTTTAGCAGGTCAGCTGTGGAATAAAAAGAGCTGCTAAAAGTATAAACAACTGTGTTAAATCATTTTCAGTCTCAAGTGGTCTCAGTTGCGGTTCTGAAATAAGCATTTTAAAATGTTTTAAAATATGTCTGGCACTTTGGAGAAAATCCAGGAGTTGCTGGAGGGATTATGTATCCCCTCTGGCCTAGGAAAGTCTCGGAATCCCCCAGGATGAGCTGGAAGGTGTCACTGGGGAGAGCGGGGTCTCTCTGCTGCTGTCCCCGCGACCCGATCCTGGATAAGCCGGCCGGCCGGACAATTTATATTGTTAGTCTAAATTATTACATTTAAAATTATAACTCCAATTCAAGCAGAATAGCCTATTGGCAACATAATTGTGGAATGTAATTTATTTTCAACTCAAAATATCTTCAATCTAATGAAATATAAAGTTATTAGGGAGGAAAATCCATCTGGAGAACAGCAGACTGACTGCTCGTAATCTGGACCACTCATGAATTTTGTTCGTATCTGAAAAAAAATATTAGAATACGAAAACACTGGTGAACGTCACAAATTCTCCTAAATCACTCGTACGCACAATTTAAGAACAAATCTGTGCGTACGAACGGTTCTTGCTTGAGGCCCAATGTCTGCACCTGATGCCAAAAATGCTTAAAATTATCTGAGGTGCATGTTTTTCAATGTCTTGTTTAAGTGGAATGGTGGGGCTTATATATGGACCGAGACCATCTTGTGGGGACACTACAGTCTCTGGCTTTAACTTCTGAATTCCAATATAGCATCTACTATGTCCTTATACTGATGTGTTTCACAAAAATGGAGATGATGCTCATTCAAAAATGTATTTTATATTCTACAAAATGCACAATAATGTTTCTACACAACCAACACAGAGCAGTGTGTAGCATGATAATGAACATCAATTTCAGTCTTTTAATTATAGATGGGAATTATTTTTAGTCTATAAATTAAACTTTTACAACCTTTTTGCTTATGCTAGTGATCTTTGGCAACTGCCTATAGTAGTACAGCTCAAAGTTATGAATAATGATGTCAGCTGAGCTGTTGGCTGAGTGTGCCTGCTTATTTATGTCTCCATGATCTAACCTTGCACAGCTTACATAGTAATCAAACCTTAGATCAATTTATAATCTCCAAATACAGGTATTGGTGTAAAACGCAATAAAAAAAATCTTCCAATGTCATGTTTAGAACTGGGGAAAAAACACTTCCTGTGAGATGTAGTGCTACATTTGGAATAAAATGCAGATCAATGTGGATTTATCTAAACAAAGCAAAGCTTTGACTGTCAAAAATGACTGTCTAAAATGTTTAATCCAGGATACAAGCTTCATATCCGTGCCCTATTTTTCTTTTAACCAAAAGGTAGTTGAGGATACACAGGGCTTTCTGTCTGTCATTGGTGTTTTTAGCTCAGTGCCTTACCTGCTCCAGTTTCCAGTGGAACTCTGCCGGCCTGAAGGTGTCCACCTGTGTGAAGTCTCTCCTCAGCAGGAACACCAGGCGGCAATTATGGACATAGAGCGAATAGTGATGTCGATTCATCTCTGCAGAAGGAAGACAGATGAGTAGGCACCAGGGACTAAATCACCACACCTACTCACACCTGTCAGGTAAAGTTAGTATGACATCCGGCTTCATGAACTAAAGAAAATCGGGACAGCTGCACTTTTCTGAATGAGGTCAGCTGTCAGAGACTTATCACTATTTTTACTGGAATTAATAAAACAAGAACCTGAGACTGCTGCTGGCTTTGTTAGGTCGGGGCGTCATTAATTTCTGTCATTTTCAAAGTAACAATTCATCCTAAAATCATCATTTATAAAATAGACCAAAAAAAATCCTACAGACATGAGTTAACGTTAAAACTCACTACAGTGGGTATTTTTGATGGTAACATTTACTGATGTCTTGAGATGGATTTCAGATAATATAAAATATTCTGTTACAAAAGCAGTGCTGCTCAGATCAAACATCTGTGAAATTTGGTATTTAAATCAAATTTGGCAATTTGAGGATAAAACTATAAAACTAATCTTTGTATCTACTGTCTCATTTTTCATTCTTCTCTCCTGCAGTTTTTCAGACTTGCTATTGTTCCAAAAGTTCTTAGGAAGCCAGAACTGATCCTAGTAACTTTTAAAAAATGCCTTTGACTCCAGAAGATGAGGCACGCTGTGCTTTAGAAATGTCCCCGATGTTGCCTCAGCACTGGGTTTCCTTAAGGTCTGAGCCTTTTCAGACAGAGGTTACTTAGAGCAGCTGAGTTATTATATGGAGCAAATGAGCAGTATACACCAATGTCTCTCATCTCTGAAGAATTTGAACAATCCATGCTTGTAATTTTCTAGATGTGTGTTTTTGGGATTGAATGAAACAGGGAACACGAGTAAACATTAATTGTTTTTTTTCTGCTTTGGCCTTCAGAGGAGTCGGACACTTTTTGCTCTGTCTCCCAAACCCATCCCTCCTATCCTGCTTCACAGCTTTTTCAAGCCTTTCTTCTACCTATCATCTGAAAACAAAAGGAATTATGGATTTGGTCAACTGGTCTCTGAACACATTTGACCCAATTTTGTCAACATTGAGATTGGAACAAGGGAAGCGTAGCTGTCCCAGTGCTGGTTGGGCCACTGGTTCCTGGGGGGCTTGAAATCTAATCTGTTTGGCTCCACTTTCCATTGAGGATGTCGAAGATTTGTACATATTTGGATTTTTGATAACTGGATTCCTGCTGACAGGCTGTGGAGGAGTTCTGGCTTATCGGAAAATGAAAGTGATCCTGACAGCAGTCTGGGCCTGTGAGAAGCTGTCAGGAACCTTGGATGGAATCTCCCGTACTGGAAACGCACAGACTCAGATGTTGGGGAGATAAGTCGCAAACTGGATGTGATTCTGACGAGAATCACAGTTCAGCAGCATGCCCGTGAGATGTAGGTTACACCTGGGTGAAGTTTCAGATGGAAAGAGAGGTGAGGAGGTGATGAAATTTGGAACATTCGGCTTTATTCGCTATCACAGAGATGCAGTTAAGACTGTAAAGCAGCAGTAAATTCAAGACTGCTTGTCCCAAAACAATTATGTTTATCTTTCGGATCCCAGCAGCTGCTGGCCTTGGGCAGTTGGCAGTTATCAAACTTCCCTGGATGACACATGAACAAAGGCTCGATTCACCCATTCCCTCCCCTGTATCATCTGCGGGTGGACCAGCCATGGTGGTGACAGAGAACTGAACTCTGGTGAACTGAGCTTGAGATAATTAGACCTGGTCTTGGACTCTGGCGGGTCTTGGATTGGTTCAACCATGGAGTATTAACCTGAAACGTCACCGGCTCCGCTGCATCCCACCCTGTACCATGTATTTTATTCCTAGCCCACCCCCATACCTCCCTCCTCCTAAGTTGCCTTTCTGCTTTAGCAAGCTATATTTGTGTGTTTATGAGAAAATATAGGATCAGAGGAACTTTTTTTAAACTCACCTATCCTATTGTGTTTTTTTTTCCAAACTGCAAAAACTGCGTGACCGTGTTTGCACAAGACCTGATCATCCGTTCACCCCCTTGTTTGTTATGTGTGTCTTTCTCCCGAACGGAGTGTTCTTAACAGCAATTTTGTTCTGCCTTGCATCTTTGATGTTGTGTGTAATTTTTTTTTGGCAAATCCTTTGATCTGAGTGTCCATGGCTCAAATAAAACATAATTACTGTGGGTTTGATTCAGTCACAGACAGTATTTAGACATGGATGAATGTGGACACCAATATCTTTTGCATCATTTGCATTCTAAAACACTCGTAACTATAACAATGATAAAAATAAAAGCACACAATTTAACATGAGGGAATATAAAAAACATGCAGAAATATACAGAAAAATGTGTATGGCATAAGGTGAATGCTAAACAACTTGTAATTCCCATGGATTTTACACACTAAACCATAAAAAAAATGTTCCTGTTATATATGAGCATTAACATCAAATAGATTTCATCCAAAATGACCGACTCCGAGTGGGGACTGGACCATGCCAAAAGACTTTATTTATTTACTTATTTATTTATTTATTTATTTATTTATTGGTCCTGAGACGTGTAAACAAATGTCATGATTCCAGGTCCAAGCATGGCTTGGGGCTAATTTTTAAAATAATTGTGGGGGTTGATGTGGAGGAATTAGGCCACACACCCCAGAAATTGGACTGCATTCCTGTAGTGGGGTGGATTATGATCAACCATATTGAAATGCATGCTGATTGGCTGAAATGTTTGCAAGTTAGAGCCAAATGTAATTCAACGGCGTGATATTTAATTAGGCCACACCCCTCAAAATTGGGCTGCATTCCTGTAGTGGGGTAATTAGGATCGACCAAAGTGAATTGCGTGCTGATTGGCTGAAATGTTTGCAAGTTAGAGCCAAACGTGAGTCAATGGCATGATGTCAAATTAGGCCACGCCCTCCAAAAATTGGACTGCATTCTTGTAGTGGGGTGGATTAGGATCAACCATAGCAAATTGCGTGTTGATTGGCTGATATATTTGGAAGTTAGAGCCAAACGTAGGTCAAAGCTGTGAGGTTTAATTAAGCCACGCCCCTCAAAATTGGACTGCATTCCTGTAGTGGGTTAATTAGGTTTGACCATAGTGAATTTGGTGCAGATTGGCTGAAATATGTGAAATTTAGAGCCAAACGTCTGTCACCGATTTGATGTCTGACTTCGCTGCACCGCCATGACCACGCCTTTCACCAAAATGTCTTTGTGCTTGAAATCAAGTGAGATCAAGTTCTTTCTGTGTTCTGACAAAATATGTTGCTGATTAGGTCAAGAGGGTCAGAGATGGAGCCTTCCAAGCCAAAAAAAGGTACTGTAAATTCCTGTTGTGAGAGGTTGGGGCTTTGATGATGTCAAATGACCACATGGTACAGTCAGATTTGCAACATGGATGACTCATACCTAGTTTGGTGTATTTTAGTCTTTCTATGTGAAAGTTACAGCTTTTTGAAATTGTAACAGATACACAGATGGATGGATGGAGAGTATTTTTTGTCCCCTGCCTCGGCGACAGGTGACAAAACATACTCACAGGAACTGGGTAATTGAACGTGAGCTAAAACTAAAATATGCGATTTTGTCAGGCTTGCTTTAATTTCCTGAATGTTCCCAGAGTCACTTGAGGTCACACAAAGAATGAAATAGTTTTAAAGCCAAAAAGCTGTTTCTGATGGCATCCAGTTTTAACTGAACCACAAGTTATTTTAGGTAGATTCAGGTTGTGTTCACAGTGCGGGCAAAAGTAGATGTAAATCTGACATTTTAGCCGTTATGTGAGCCAAGTCTGTTTTATTTTCTGGCTGAAAATCACAATCACAAATCTGACCTTTTTATCTGTTTGTTTGTTTGTTTTTAAATCAAACCAAGGACATTTTCAAATGTGGTCCTAAATCAGGCCCACATCTGATATCTTTCGAAGCAACCTCAGTCTGAATGGTCATGTTCCAGAAGTGTGACAGGTGACACAATTCTGTGCCGGAGTAGGCAGAAAGTGAGAAAATCAAATGTAAACTTTGGATGTAGTAAACTTTGGAGATACTTTGAATGATGGAACTAGTTAGTGGAAAGAAACCGAGGCTTGGAGTTAAATTAGTATCGAGGAGACAAATCTGTTCACACTAAACTTGAGTGGTTGTATCGTAAATGGACTGTGTGACGTCACATCTACTTCTGCACTAAATTATATTGTAAACACCACCCATCACCACCAAAAAAAGGAAAAAAAATCAAATCTCAGCAAAGAGTCAGAATTGAACATTAAGACCTGCAGTGTTCACACAGCCTCAGTCTGATGCTTCATGTCTTTACTAAAAAGAACAGAGCTTTTCAGTGTTTTCCTTAGTCATTCAACAAGGCTTTTCTTAGCTCCTTATTCCATTTAATTTTTTGTTCTAATGAATAGAACACTTTTTGACAGCTGCTACTCACAAACATTTTTAACATGGATGTCCTTCAGTGGAAATGTTTTATGAAAATGAATGTGTAAAAGTCCAGATGTAATGCTCCAGCAGATGTGCTTCAGTACTAAAGTTTCATTTTCAGAAGAAAAAAAAAAGCAGAACTATCCCTTTAACCACACACAGCACTTAGCCAAGATTTCATACTTTTTTTGTCTTTACTAAAACTGGACTGACTTTGGATGTCTGTGGAGATGTGTGTCACAGACAAATAACCTAGACGGGGAAAATCAATCCATTGTTTATTTTGGAACTCTCGTGGGATTCGCAAACAGGAAAGTTCTGAAATGACAAATGACTCACCGGTTTTATCCGAGTTACAAAGTAATGTCTCCTTCTCGGCTCTGAGCCCGGGGCTGGGCCCATGCTTCATCCACGTTGCAATGGTGAAATGGTCTGTTAGATTTTGGGGAACCACCCTGTCTGGGATTTTAGCGGCCTGACGACCATCAAATCTGAAGATCAAGTCACTGTCCCTCCCGCTGTCAGACACCAGAGAGGCCGTCCAGTTCGTGGTTGGGCTGGGGGCTGGAAGAAGGTCAGTGCTGCCAGATGTGGCTCCTGGGGATCAGTGCAATGGGAACAAACAAAAAGAGTGACAGAAGACATGTCAATAATAATCATGGCACATTTACTGTGTACATATATAGCCCTCCTGGCTATGATTTGTGAGGACAGCAGAAGCCAAAGCTTAATAATTAATCAATGGGGTGAGTAGGATGCAGGATGCAAGTATTGATTCACGGTAAACAGAAATAACTTTAGATATAAGAGATGAGTCATTGTCTATAAATGACCAACCATTACTGCTTTGTATTGAGTCATTCCCTTTTCCCTTTACAAACATCTCCATCATCCGCTGCTTACACAATAACCTCATTCTGAGTTATGAGCCATCTTTGTTTTTATGCTGTATCTTTAACAAACCTTATTTTGGCCACATTGCTCATTTTGGCATATCTGACATGCTCTCACCAATCCATTTTTGCCTTCTTTAAGTGTCAGTGAAAAATACATTCTACCCAATTAAACTACATGTTTGAGTCATTTGCTCCCGGTCGTGGGTGGCAGCAAATCGAAATGACAGAAACAGTGAGAATCCGCCATGATTCTCTTGTACAAGCAGACAAATGCAATGTACCCAAATCACAACATTTGCACAATAATTGATGTTTTTCCCCTTCCATCTCTAAAGGTCTGTTTCTCTCCACTGCGTATTCATGGTGCCACCAACGCTTTGACTCAAGTAATTAAATCCCCTTAGTAAATAAAAACAAATCGACTCCTCCAGCATCCAGCTGCAGCCGCCTCTTTGCCCAGTTTCTCTGTACATTATCTCAAATTGATTGTGCTTTAAAAAAGCAATTACAATTTATTCTATTTGCTATCAGATAACGATTATGAGGTCCCTGAAAATGTCTCTTTAGTGGTAAACCATGCATGGACTGGGAGCCGGGGGAGGCGTGGATGGGGGCTGTTATGCATTCAGATGAGCTGGAATGTGGCTTGTGAAGGCCGTTAGTCAAAGTCGATGACTCCAGCCCCCCTGCTGGCAGTGCGGTGTGGGTGGGGAGGGGGTGCCGGGTGCTTTGTTGGTGCTCTAGGGACTGACTGACCAACTCGGCTGCTCATCAGTCACTGAGGAGAAAGCGTTGCTACATCTAGGGCGACTAATGCCCTCGCTCTGTCACATCATTAGTGACACAGCTTTAACTTGCTGTACTGGTGCCTTCATTTAGCGCAGGGATATACCAGGGACACAAGTGGAGATAAGAATGTAACAGACTGGGAGCTTTTAGATGTTCATTTAAAAAGAGCACAGAAAAGAACCTCAGGCCTTGTCTGACCCTGGTACTCACTGCTTGGACAGCAGTGATGTTTTTTGCAGAAATTCAGTTCAGATTTAATGCTGAACTTTTAGGCTGCTGCCTCCGTCAGAAGTCTTTGATCAGCAATGCATCACAAATCCACAATTACCTCGAGAACCAAATGTGGCAAAATCTCCAAAAATCTGTCTACCTGAAGCTTTATTCTGGTCACACAGCAATAATCACAATGTTGTAAATTAACCCCTCCCCCAATAAATAAATAAATAAATAAATAAATCCTCAAACCGACCACAAAGTTTCTGCAGAGATTTCTCAGAGTACGTCTCCCGGTCACAGCCCTTCCCGATGTGGCTGGTCTGCAGCTCCACAGTGGTCCTCACCGAGGACAGAGGTTCACCGCAGGTCTCCAGGTGCATCTGAGGAAACAGCTGTTTACTGCCTGTTCCTGGCTCGTAGTCCGCTCGTTTATTCCAACCTGGGAATGGACAAACATAAAGTGGCTGTGTTAACAATGGAACAAACAGTCTGTTCTTTCAATTGGAAACATCAGCTGGAAAAAAAGATTAAATACCAAAGGATGTGATGATTTTAACGCCTTTAAGTTTAGAGGCTTATTAAAACACAAATTTATTATTTATTTATTTATTTTTTGGTGACTGACATTTCTCTTATTAAAATAAAATGTCCAGAGGACACTGAGGACTGCAGTAGGTTAATGAAATTATGACATTTGGGTTGGTGTTTTACTGTGCAGTGCAGAACCTGACACAGCAGCAATAGTCATTATGGCCTCACTCTCTCTCGTCAGCTGTGAATTGAGTTTCTCAGTCTGACCAGGCCATTATTTTGTGTGGCTGTGCTATTTTTTATGATTTCCAATCATTTTCCTGAGCCTTTTTTATGTGGTGCATTTGTGTTCATTCTGCAGTCCACATTAGAGTTATCAGAACACCACTTCATATAATCGCACTACAACATTATATAACCAATACTTTTTATTTTCTTCTGATTTATCATATATTAGAAATAACTGGACAGCCAAGTCCAAACTACTCTGTCAAATCCATGCTACTTCTGCACACAACCGAGTTCCCATCTACCAGTCAGTAAACATTACTGGTGAGGCACTAAAGGCAATGACATGAAGCAAAAATGACAACCCATAAAAGTTAAAAAAAAAAAAAAAAAAACAACAACTCTGTGTTGCTCACTAGTCTGGAAAATCTGCCATGTTTCCTTGCTTACACATCACTCTGTCACGCTCAGAACACAGACAAACACTGCATCTGTTTTGTAGTTGATTCACCTCCAGTCTGTAACGGCTGTGTGCTGCTGGAACACAGTTACTGTGGGATTGTCTGTGGTTGTGTTGATAATAGACCCAAAGAGTGGTGCATGCTTAACAAGAACTAAACAACAAAACGTGAACATGTTAAAAAGCCCCAAAATATAGAGTATGTGGCATGAAATATTTTTTTTTCTCTACCCTGTAATTCTTTGATGTCACAGGTACACAGTATAGTTACTGTGTTTATGACCATTACTGCCCAATTTTTCATTTATTTATTTATTTTTCAGTACTGCACTCTAGGAACTGATGGTTCAAAGTAATGCCACACATTCAAAAAAATAAAGGGAAAGTCTGGATTTGAATTAGGCACAAATCTGATGAACCATTAGCTGAACTCTCTTTAGAATTTCTCTTAGATTATCCAAACTGAGAACATTCTAGCTCTTGTCTACTCCAGGTAAGATACTGACTACAGATAAGGTCTTCACAAAACTCCAGTTTAAATAATCTCTTTATAGTAATGGGCAGGCAGCCTTTTAGTTTTTTGTGACACCAAATTAGATTCAGCTTGCACTGGTGATAAAACAAAAGGAGAAGGAGTTACATAAGTTCCTCCTGTACTAATCTACGCCCTGCAGAATTGTGGGTAATGTTTTAAATGTGCTGTTAACTGTTGCCCATATTGCTAGTCACTTTTTGCTCTGGCTATTTTCTTTTTTTAAATACAATAAATTGTAATGAAAGTAAAATAGCATTCTTTTCTCGTTTAATTACAAAATGTATTTAACTCGTGTTTGCTTTTTACACTGTAAAACAAACCCCCCAAAAAGGAGTTATGACAACAAATAAAAAAATAATAAAATAAAACCACAAAATCTAAATAAAGGGTTGAGGCCCCATCCAGGAATGGTATCTTTTTTCCCCTTATAAACATGACACAGTTTTTAGAAATGTTTCCATTCACACAGATATGCAACAAACAACCCAGTTAAACCCCAGTAACTATGCCAGGTCTGTAGTGTTGTATAACTGTCATGAAAATACACCAGAAACAGGAAAAAAAATGCTCCTGATCAATTTCTTCAGTTTAGAAACCCATTTAAACAAGACATAAATACCAATTTTTACTGTTACACCTGGGTGTAATGTCACTTGGCCCTTTGCGACTGACAGCTTGGGGACATATCGTGTATGCAGTGTCTATAATCCCTGCTTTGTATAATGAAAAAAACTAGGAAACGTCAACTTGCAAAGCTTTCAGTTTCATGGAAAATATACATACTAACAAATTCTAAATAAGCAAAAAAAGATGAGTTGGCAGATAAAAACAAAACAAAAAAAATCAACCTACATTTAAATGTATTTGATGTATAATGCTGAAAAAAAGGAAAGCTGCATCATTAAACAGGTTTGGGTTAGCAAAAGGGCAAAGCGAGTGATTCAGTCATAAGTTACTCTAAAAAGAGCAGGGAGTGAAATGACCTGTCAGTGACGCGGCTTTAACACTTTGTATCTGGCTCCACATCATGAGAAGGATGGGAGGATGAGGTAGCGCCTGGTTAAGGATGCATGGCAAGAAGCTGCAGAACGTGGAGGGAATAAATGGAGTTTAATGAGCTGAGGATGTAGGCTGCATTTAGACATACAGTGTAAGAGATTAGAGCGTATAATAGAGTGAATGATTATAGATCATGGGTTCGAGAGAAGTGGACAGATGAGGGGAAAACAGAAAGGTGCAGTCTGCATATATAAATATAAAATTGGTAAATATTTCAGTCTTGTTAACCTTTCTATTTGGGTGCTGTTGTATGGTAGGAATTTTTTTTCTTCATAAATAAATGTGGATGACACAATTCCCTGTCTCCAGCTGGTTTCTGTGGTTTCGAGGCTTCCATTTTACCATTTCCTCATTATATCTAACAGAACAGAAATGATAAATTAACAAAGAGACCAAATTATGCACAGTAGATGAGCACTGCATTTATGAAAATCACAGCACAAAATGTTGAATTTCTTCTCTTTTCTTAACACTACTTAACATATCTGTATAATGATCAGACAACAGTGACACTGCATTCAAAATCAGTCATATTTATTCTAGTGGTGAAGTTCTTTCTTTCCCCCCAAGAGTCAAGCAATGTTGACATTATTTCTGGAAACTGACTGTACATATATATATATATATATATATATATATATGAGTCCTGGCTTAACTAAAACCAACTTCTGCTGTGAAAAAAAGAAAAAAAAAACTAAATAATTTTTGTGTACAGAATGTGATGCAAAGTGCCCTGAATACAAGGAAGAAGGGACTCAGTGTTTGGAAATCAAACCAGTATAAACGGAATCAAAGAGTAATATTAAAACAAAAACCTAATAAAAGGTAAACACAGCAGCAGATGCTCAGTCACACCAAAGAACACGTTTTGTTCAGAGGCAGTGAGGGTGAAAGCAATGTGGAACAAGCTGAAGTCTGAGATGTTCAATAAAGGAAAAAAAACATGAAACATAAAAAGCAAAATATATGTATTTGTTGTTCTCAAGCTTAGATTTCAATAAATCACAAATAAAAAAAACCTCAGATTAAAAACCTGGTTGTGGCATTTATCTTTCATAAGAGAAAATGAACAAATGTCTGAATGAATTGAAGAAACTTATAGGGGTTCTGTTTAGTCACTGATTTTTTTAAAGCACTACACAGACATTATGGTCACTCAGAGCAGGAAGTACATTTAGTTAGAAATATGCCTGATGACGTTTACAACACATAAAATATGGATTAAAACAGAAGCTAAAAGGAAATACGTTTGAAGACTTGACCTTGGAGCAGGAAGTGTTCCCCTCAGTGACGTAATGGTAGTAGGCGGGGTCAGGTCTCAAAGAAGTTGTTAAATGTGGATGCATTTCCTGTCTCGGGGCCGATTGCAGACTAGTAACACTCAGCGGAACGCCTGCGTGCCGTTTTTGGTTGGTTTTATTTTAGAATGTCTTTCTGTATTTCCGATCTATCTATGTCCGTGTTCAATGCATTAAAATGGCTGTCTAGGCCCTTCTCTTTCGATTGACACCTCATTTGACCAAGTGGGTTCAAGTATCGGCTGTCCAGAACCAATAATATAATGAGAAGTGACCAACTTTCGGTTTCCGTCATCCTGAGCTAGATTGACTGTAGAATCGGCCAGTCAGCTCCAAGCTTCGTTCTGATACCACAGCTGTGTAGCCAATCATGGTACCTTTCATTTGTTATATATTTTGAGGGGGTAGGAACTGTGTTTAGGGATGGCACAAGCTAAATACAGAGTTGGTCGCCATTTTTAGGCAGTCGTGCTACGCTATCAAACGAAGCAACGCTCACAGGGAAACTTTTTTTTCATCGTTTTTTGGCCACTTAGCTGACTAAACATGCTGATAAGATGAAAATATATTTGTTATTAAAGGCACAGTGTGTAGGATTTGTTGTTTTCAGCAACATCTAGTGGTTGAGTGGTTGAATCATCCTCCCTGGTCCTCCCCCCACCCCCACTTCCAAACACAAATGAGTTGCCACGGTGCCTCTCAGGTGTCAAAAACCTTTGATAATTCCAACCGCGATGTCTACCAGCAGCTTCAGGGCTAGTGATGTTTCAAGTGGTAAGATTATGAGCTTTAATAAGTAAAATTATACCAGCTATGTTTACATGCACAGAATATTTTGATCTGATTGAAATGTATTCAGATTAAATAATCCAAATGTACTGTTTACATGGACACAATCCGATCATGAAAAGTGTTTACACGCAGTGGACTTTTATTCAGAATAAAAGTCCACACATGTGCAGTGTTGTAAATGTTCAGCAGCTTTAGAAATTACAGTGTTTTAGACAAAGTGTACAGTCTGGACATACTGTACATGTGTACAAATATGCAAATGGGACATGCTGGATTATACTATGTCTCAAACATTCATATTTTATGCTACTGTTACCAAATTTGAACTGGTAATAGTTGGGAATTAATATCTTAGCCCAGTAACAATTGTTTATTGATATCTCATTCTCTTCATGTTCTGTGATACTTTATTAGTAAAAAATAAAAATTTAGGGAGGAAATATCTTGATTTTTGTGTATTTTACTTATAAATACTAGTTACATTTACAACAAATATGACTGCTGAAGTTAAAAACTCAGATTATTCGCTTTAAAAAGAGACTAAGCTTGTGAATTTAATCTAAAAGGGTTCAAAAGCAGTACTTAATTTAACTTGTGTCTACTTTTTAAGGCATTTAATGGTATTTTATGCCCGAATGTTAACAGGCTACAGTAATAAGCTGTCTCTCAGTCCAGCACCGTGGTGGTTGTATGAGTCTTCTAACATCCAAACATTCAAGTATTGTTGATATTTCTGTTCTGGTTGTGAACACGTGAAATTACACTGTAATTTCACTCTAATTATTACAGAGCCTCTCCCAAGGTGCTTGTACAGGATATTGCCTGGTGCAGCATGTACATCAAATGTAAATGAATAAATAAATAAATTAATTAAATTTACAAATAAACAGTTTAAATAGTCTGTATACAGAAAATTGGATAATCCCAAATAAACCTTTATGAACTTGTAAGGTGTCGTATCAACTTTTTCTTATCCATTGTATCAATGGATATGAAAAGGCTGATGCCTTCATGATTTTAATAACCAAATAAAAATATAAAACAAGAACTAACAAAAAAACCACACTTTTATTAAAGGCAGTCCTTCTGCTATACTTTCAGCACTGGTGCAAATCTTTTAACTTCTGCTTGTTAAGAATTTCCAAATATGTTTTATTCCAAAAACTTAGATTGAAGATGATCTGCAGTACATTTTTACTTTTGTAACACCAGACTTCACATCTATTTTAAGAGGTATGAAAATGTTTCGGTTTATTATTGTGCAGTTTTATGACAGAGTAAGAGGCAACTTTTCCCCACACTTAGTGATTTTAAAAACAATACACAGATTTGTGTGGAAGTGAATTGAAAACAAGAGAACTGTACTTATGGGGTGAAATCCTGCAGTCAAACTTCCTTTAATCCTAACGGGTATATTTAATTTACTATTCGTTGATGGTTTAGGACACACTACTAAATCTGTTACAATGCAGAAAACACAACACAGTGGGGAAATGGTTGAGATCCCCTCACAGTTGACTGTAGGTTCAAACTCAAGCTGCAGCCTTTCTGTATGATTTGTGTGTTCTCCAAGTGAATGTTTGTTTTTGTTTTTCCCAGGTTTTGTCCCAAAAATCAAAACCACACATGATAGGTTAATTAGCAACTTTGATTCCTCACTGTGTGCGTGGGAGCACAAGTCCTTTTTTGTCTCTGTGCTCCTTTGTGGACCCTATCAATCACCCACTGACTGCTGGACACTCTGCATGGAAAGCAACTTATTAAAATTATTAGACAAATCATCTATCCTTATATGGACCTGACCCTCAATTTTATCAAATTATCTGTCACTTTTTGTTTTTGCATTTAATGATTTGTACTCTTTAAAGTAGATAGATAGATAGATAGATAGATAGATAGATAGATAGATAGATAGATAGATAGATAGATAGATAGATAG